TTTTGGTTTTGGTTTTGGTTTTGGTTTTGGTTTTGGTTTTGGTTTTGGTTTTGGTTTTGGTTTTGGTTTTGGTTTTGGTTTTGGTTTTGGTTTTGGTTTTGGTTTTGGTTTTGGTTTTGGTTTTGGTTTTGGTTTCGTGCGTGCTCGGTAGATTGGTTTTGGTTTTGGTTTTGGTTTTGGGCTGTTTGGAAATCTGGTGGTTGCTTTTAGGTTGTTATGGAGGGTGACTGCCTAGAGGTGTGGTTTGGGTTCAATCAGCTTGCGTGTTTAAAAGTTGGGTCAGATTTGAGTTGATATTTGGGTTGGTTGTTGTGGGTTGATTTAGACAGGTGTGGGCTAGTATGTTTTGGGAGTATTGGGTTGACTTTATCAATTTGGTAGTTTAAGATTTTCATTATATGCTCAGCTTTTAGTGATTAAAAAATATACTAATGTTGATATTATTGTTGCAGAATGACCTACGCAAGAATCCTGCATTCCGTATAAAAATTGGTAGTTATTTTATAGGTATATATATGGTGTTTGAAATTATAATTGACACATGGATTTTGTTCTATCTATTTTGATTTTCATAATTTCTTTGCAATGTTTATTAAGTTTTTATTATTTCTTTGCTATCTCCGCCTTTTCTCTGCTCTGTTTAAGGCTTTATATCTAAAGAAAGATCTAGAAATTGGGTATTTGTGTTCTGATCTATTCCCCCTCATAATGTGTATTGATCAGGTGCAAGCTTGGATTTGAGAAACCTATATCTCTATGGTAACAAATTGGAACTCGATCGGTGCCATGTACAATGGTGAACACCAACGTTGTAGATTTTGACTTTACTAGCATTTTATCTGGATTGTGTTTTTGTCATAAAAGAACTTTTTTCAAGTTTTTAGTTGTAATAACTTTCACATATGACTCCAATTTTGAGACTGGATTGTATTTTTCTCATAAAAGAACTTTTTCCAAATTTTTAGTTATAATAACTTTCACATATGGCTTAAATTTTGAAACTCAAATGGAATGTCTGATTAAACTACAATGTTATACCGTCTAAATTCTTGTCATCACTACTGTTAGAGTGCTTAACGTTACACTTTTTCTTTTTTTTTTTTTTTTTTTTTTTTTTGCGACTGTAGCAAGATTGTCGTCAATAACATGTTAGCATATTTCTTTGTTTTTTACAATGGCAAAATAATCGTTGTTTTGCTGTTGCAAAAAGTATTTGTCATCCCTACATTCGTGACTCTCATTTGTCATTTCATAGGCCATCGCAAAAGGTCTTTTGCGACTGTAATTTTATTATTTGTGACGACTTATAATAGTCGCAAAAAGTATTTTTTTTAGTAGTGACGCACAACACCTGCTCCAATTGCTACAAAATAATACAGATTTATAAAAAAAGAGTTTGGGACTTTAGTTATTAATATTTTTATAGTTTACTACTTATCTTTTTTTTTTATTTATAAATATACTGAATCATATATCAAATAACATTTCAACTTAAAAATTTCAGCACTTAATTTTGGATAAGTTATACTTTATCTCATTTATATTTGACCTTTCATGTGTCAAGGTTTTTTTTAATTTACTTCAAAAACTAATTTTGATTCAAAATTAGACAAAAAATACCGCACGCACAAAGTGGGGCCTGGGGGGGGGATTTTTTTAAGTACCAAAGTAAAAAAATAGTTAAACATAAACTTTATTTTTTAACTTTGGATTTATTTTATTTATTTTTATTTTTATTTTTATTTTTATTTTTTGTGAATTTTATCGGATAACAACAGTTTAGTGAAGTACTGAAATTAAAAGAAAGCCACATGGGCCCACTTTCCTAGAAGGACACTAGGTCAACCAATTCCAATGCCCACCATCCATCATCACCGATCACAAAATACTCAAAAAACTGCAAGTAAACAAAGAAAGAAAGAAAGAAATGGTGATGGTGTCTGTGATGAAGCTGATGGACAGGGTTCTGATAGTGTTCTCTATTACGTTTGCAGTGATTGCACCCTTTGATGCAGGTCTATTGTTCCTCACTCCTAATCTGGACCCCAACAACAACAATAACTTGCTGGTTCATCACCTCAAGCCTTTGTACGAATTCAAGTTCGGGGATTACTTGGCCACAAACAAGCCAGCTTTCTTTGTGGCTCTGGTGTGGTTGGAACTAGTGTTCCTCTGGCCTCTACAGCTTCTCAATCTCTATGGAATTATTCTCTCTCCCCACCCTTCTTGGCTCGGTCTCACTTTCTTGCTCTTTGGTGCCTCCTATTGCACAGCTATGGTATTTTTCTCTCTTTTTTTTCCCAACTTTATTTTTATTTTTTATTTTTTTGAGTAAATTACTGGCTTGTTTAGTTTGTTTCTCATAATTTTTTTCATTGTTTTTTTTTTGAAAAAATAAAAATTAATTTGATAAAAATAAATATCAAAAAAGATATTTTTAAAATTTTAAAATTATTTATGGCCTTACAAAAGACAAAATTATATAAAAATAAATGTTTTTCATTTTTAAATTCTTTCACTAAATTAGTTTTAAATTTTTTAGAAAAAATTGAAATAAGTTTCTGAAAACTAAACCAAACATAGTTGCATTAAAGATCACAAATATGTGGCATAGTGCACACCCCCTTTTGAAGTGTGTATTGTAAAATTTTTCAAAGTTAAAATATAATAATTAAAATGAAATTTAAAAGGTGAAATACATGAATTTGTTCTATAATGTTTTTAAAATGTGTTCATATAGCCCTAATGAGCAATTTTCATCCAAATTTTTTGGCTCATGATAAGAGAATCGTATTGAAACATATGTTAAAGTTAGAGAACTCAATTATTGTAATTAGAAAATAAATATGAAAAATAAAGTGAAAGTTTGACAATAAAAAGTGTAATTTACCATTATTGCTCATGTTTTTTTGGTAAATTATAAATATATTCTCTGAAGTTTACTAAAAATATGGATTACTTTCTGTGATTTTAAAAACTACAAATATCTAATTGTTAGGATTTTTTATTTAATAAAATTAATACAAAAAATTTAATTTGTAACTATTCTCCAATATAACAATAAAATTATTTGAATTATTAATTTAAATATATTTCTGACATCATTAATATAGTTAATTGACTAAACAATTTATTAACAAAAGTGATTAGGGCTATATCGTATGACTTTTAACCATTAATGTAGCTCATCCCTTAACCATTATTGTAGTTGTGACCATTTAAAATTTGAAGGGGCATGATATAATTTTTAGACCTATAGGAGGTAAGTGTTGGGGTGTCTAAAGTGCATACCATATGTATTTTCGTAAGTTCCCACGAACATACATAAGTTTCTTTACAAAATCGCATAAGTTCTCATGAATATACGTAAACTGTGATTTTTTAGATTTTTATGAGTTAACTTGCGTATGTTTGTGAAAACTTATATAATTTTATGAGATAATTTACGTATATTTGTGAGAATTTATACAAATACATATGATATGTACTTGTATACTTAAGAATTACCCTTTAAGCAAACGTGAGGAGGTGTGTATATATGTAATTTATTTATTTATTTTGGGTCTTTTCTTTTTCTAAAGACCATGTCCTGCTCAGTCTAGAATGGTAATTTAAAAATCATGAATTTAAAAAAAGATACTTCACAATTAAAAAAGACTTGTCAGCTTACAAAGAGATCTGTTGGCTCCACAATGGGTTATATATACGAGATCCAGTTACAATTTTATCTAGATAGGTAGCATCTTTTCAAGTCTGATTTTGAAAATTTAAGCTTGTATTTGAAAAGAAAAAACAAACTCAAATTATTATGCATATTAAAAACAAAAATGATAAAATATGAGCAACAAATAAAAGAATATTAATAATAAATTTTAGGAGAAATTATAAAAGAATTTCAGGGTTTGTCCTTTATAATAAAATAGATTTTGAATTTTGAATTTTATCAATTTAATTCTTAATCTTTGGATTCATGTCTCGTCACAATTATAATGCTTATGAATTTACCAGCAAATTTTCTTACTTTCAGGTAGTTATTGATATAGACTCTCCTTTGTGTCAAGTAGTGAAAAAATGGAGTAAAAAACCTGTGTGTGTATCCGTAACTCTTTTTGGTGTGTTTCAAATAGTGAAATTGGATAAAATTGACGGAATTTTGAATGTTTGGTATTTGACAGTTTTGGTTCCAACCATAGTGTTCAGTCCTTGTAATGAACATTAGAGAAGCATTCCAACTCTTATTATTAGATCATCCAAATCTGAAATCAAATCTAACAAAATGCATTTTCATCCTCTAATTATGAGTGTTGGGTTGGAAATGCCCTAATTAAGTTGACTCCTTGCCGACTATGTTTTTCTTCTTCTTCATTTTTTTTGAGTGGTTGAACACTGTACATCAGTTTTCTTTCCTCATTCCTTATGTATTATTTTTCTTGCCAAGCAAAAATAAATAAAATAAATGTAGAGTGCTTCTTGCTTATTATAGTTACTATGGATGTTTCAGTATGCAATATTAGCAGAAGTGATGTCACATACAGTGTCGGACACACTAATAATGCTCTACCTCCTCTTCATTGGTTGCGGTGTTTTATCCATTCTGCGTGGCCTGCTAACAGACTACTCTTCTGCTGCTGGTAAGACTACAAAAATCAATACGAAACATGAATCAAGTGGAAGCGGTAAAAAGAGGGCTGAATCAAGTGGAAGCGGTAAAAAGAGGGCTTGAAGAATTCCATAAAAACTTTCATCAACATATATTGAATTAAGTTGAGAAACTAGCATTATACGCATTGAAAAATGAAGTCAATTTTCTGCTGATAGCGGGCTGCTATATATCATTGAATAAATATCACCAGGTTTTTTGTTTTTTTTTTCTTCACTATTCGCGTGAATACACGCTATAAACGTCTTGTGTAGATGTAAAACTTGAATTATTTTACACCATATTTGTGATTTTATTTTGGAGTTAAAAAAATAGTGATGTTTATCTGGTGACAAAAACTTTAAGCTTTCCTCTTGTTTATGAATTATGATGGCATTATAAAAGCTTCCAATGCCTTGATTTAGGACTGCTTTTGAGGATTATGAAACTGTTGCTTTTTAATCACTCTAAAAATTTCCATAATATAGATCTCATGATTTATATGCGTTACTTTTAGATTAGGAATTACATTAGCCTTCGACAAAAAAAGCCAAAGCTCTTCCAAACCTAATTCAATGTATTACTTTCCCTTAAAAATTCTACTAGTCTTTACTTTATATCATGTCATCAAATAAGTTAATGTTGATATTTTGTTAGGAGTTTTGAACGGGCTTATATAAGATGGTAATTTGGGGCTTTTAAGGATTAAAGTTTAAAGGAACAATTTGTGATATTGACGATTAGATCGAGTTATTACAGGCAATTCTTTTTTAGGTGTAAATTATGCTCAACATCTTAATAATTTGTTTCATTGGTGAAATCTATATATATATATATATATATGTGTGTGTATATTAAGAAAAATGAAATTTCAAATGAGAAGCCTTGTGGTAGTTCCAAAATTTTAACCCAATTATGTTGATTTTTATTATATTTTTAAATAATTAAAAAAACTTTCTATTTGTTAACCAACTATTCAACAAAAAATGCCAAACTCAAACTCCTCAGAAGGACTCGAATCTGATTCCAAATCAATAAACTCAGTGGAATCAGATTCAAGTTCATCATCCGGTTCAGAACTGTCAATGGTTCCTTTCTCAAATTGCCAAACCAGACGTGGAGCCTCAGATGCGTTCACAATGAGACCAGTTAAATCCGTTGCTAGTTTATCCCCGATCATAGAGATATCAATACCATCTCCCAAGTTGACGAGCTCAGCCCCAGCATTGGAACTTGATAGTAGGTTAGCTAGTGCTTTCCCCTACAACTCTTCTTCGTCGATGTCCAAGCTTGCAGTCTTGCCTTGTTTTATACAGCTGCTCAAGTCTTTATGCTCATCCTCCTCTTCTGGTAATTGGTGTCCGAAGAAGATCTTGAACCCAGGTACCTTGTCTTTGTTTCCCGATCAAACCAAGGCTTTGGAAATCCACAAAATGGGAAATCTTCCACTTCGCGGACAAAGCATCCGTTCAGGGTTCCCCGAATTGGCTTGTGGAGTAATTCATACTGCCTCCCAGTCCTTTTTGCTTTTAGTTTTCCTCTCAACTCATCTCCCTTCCTCTTCCAATATTCGGGAGTAGGCTTATATACCCAAGTCCAAAAGCATGGGAGTTATGACTCATCTCTTTGGCAATATTACCTCATTGCCTACCATTCCTACCTAATCCTGATCCAGGAATATGCCCTTGTTTGTTCATCAAGTAAACGAACTGGGCGCTCACATAGTTCTCATCGTCTTCCGCTATGATAGTTTGGACCAACGGGGCCTCCGCCAAGGAGAAACAGGAATGGAACACATCCTCTTTCTCGTGTATGATTTCTAACAGAGGTGTGGTAGTTCCTTGGAGATGATGGATAACAAAATTGTTGTAAACAGTAGCAATCCTACCTTTAAATGGATACTTCACCAACTGGTGAATTGTTGATGAAATTGCCTTCATCTAATGCAGCCATGGTCTTCCTAGAAGTAGATTGAAAGTCGCCAGTACGTCCATAACATGGAATTCAACCTCATGTTAGACGGACCGATTAATATGTGGCTTTAAAGGTTCTCATGACTTCTCGGCTGGTGTTGTCATAGGTTGAAACATCTTAAGTTGTAGGCGTGAAGTCAGCTAGCTTCAAACCTATGGCGTAAGCAGTCCTTGTCGAACATATATTAATCACCGAGTCGGTGTCCACTAGTACCACCGGGATCCATTTCTTCTGGCTCTCTAGCATCATGTATAGGGGTCTGTTGTGGTTCGCAACCTCAAGTGGAAACTCTTTATTTGTAAAGGATATCACTGGCATAATGTCCCCGGAGGTGACCAACAACACCGGTTGGTCAATAGTGGTGTCGATGGACAGCTTCGTTCTGCTCATGGCCTCTAGCAGCGCCTGCCTATGTTCCCGGGAATTCATCAGCATCCCCTAGATTGATATGTTTGCCCAAATCTTCTTGGGCTGTTTCAAGACCAGGTCTTCTTCAACGTCTTTCTCTTTTGATTTCTCAGTCTCTCTCCCATCTAAAGCCGAGGGTTTGAAATATCGACCATTTCGGGTCATGTGGTTGATCTCGTCGGTATACCATGTATCATCAGGGGTGTCAGCTTTCCATCATTCGTCAGTATACGCATGGCTCAGATCATTGTCTTCCCACCACTCTCTCGCTGTTATGGCCAGGCCATTATTCGGTTCTACCCGGAGCATGTTTACATCATGCCCCTATCATCATGCCACTCTTCTTCCACAATAGTTTCAGTTTCTGCGTTCCATTACTTCTTGAGCTTCCTTGGCATTCTTTTCCTATCACTGGGTTCCCATTCAGGCTTCCCCGTGTTTTGGACATCATCTGATGTCGGCTCGGCTTCTACTTTTCCCTTTCCTTTTCCATGCTCTAGGGCTATATTCCTTTGGATTTCCTCTACTCTTTCATGTTGGAATTGTTCCAACTCTCATTTTTTGTCAGTTACAGGCATGGCCTCAGTCATGGACACATTATCAATCTTGCTGCTATCACCCATTTCTTTTTTTTTTTCACAATCTCCTCTACTTGCTCCTCCGTATCTGATTCTTCTTCACTCAACCACCCATTGCTGGTTTCAGGTTGGCTTGGATCTCACCACCCAATCTGTACAATGCCCACCTCTTCTTCTTCAAAGAAGTAAAGGTTCTCCAGGTCTTCCTCCATGTCAGCCAGGTCCTTTTAAGGCCTTGTTCAGGCCAAACATTCTGATTTTTCCCTACCTTATCTTCCCCAATGGCATTGATACTAAGAGAGTCTGGTAGTATGACTACAGGCTTTGGTTGGTCAATAGCCACAATGTACAGGTTGGAGTCGTATTCCTCTGCGAGGGAGGCCCCTTTTTCTATAACTCAAGTGTCAGAAGACCTTGTCTCTACTGCATTCTTCTCCGCCTCCATCTTTGCCACCACAGGCCCTGGTTGGGTTGTGGGTGTTATATCCATCATGCATATGTTCATGCTTTCTGGAATAACCACCTCTGGTTTAGGTAGATAGAATGAGATGTTATATGTGCAGGGGTTAAAGGCGGGTGGTAATGTATGGATTAGGTTAGTGTTTCTAGGTAATGGGACTTGGTTGTGAGCAGGGTGTAGGTTGGTGGTTACATTAGGTTTTGTGGGTGGAGCTGAGGGTAGAGTGATAATTTTATTATCAATAAGATCCCGGATCTCATGATGTAGGCAATAGCAACGATCTGTAGGGTGACCGTGCTATTGATGAAATATGCAATACTGGGTGTGCTCGTGTCTAGGCGGGAGTGGGTCGGAGAGAGGTTGAGGGTCAAGGGGTTTGAGGTGCCCCTTTTCCATTAACAGTTTGAGAGCATGGGTCAGGCTCATGTAGAGGGGGTAAAGGTTCTTTGGTTTCGGTTTGGGCCGGCAAGTTGTGAAGTTGTACCGTCAAAGGGATCGGCCATGTCGGTGCTGACATCTGCAGGCCGAGGAATAGTGCTACTGCTAGCATTAGTGTTCTTGGTGAACGACCTTCTTATAGGTTCGCTGGTTCTATGGTTGATGTCCTTCTTGAATGTACTTTTAATCTGAACCCCCAATTCATGTAGAGAAGCAAATGTGGACAATGGCGCCACTATCATTCTTTGAAGCATATCCGGCTCAAGATTCTAGACCACTAGCTAGACTTGCTCCCTTTTTGAGTGTCCGTTTGTTATCCTGGTTGCCTTTGCCATCTATCTGGCGACAAAGTTAATGAAGGGTTCTTTGGGGTTTTGCGTAGTTGCTTCTAGCTCACTGATGGTTACCTCTATCTGAGTGTTATATAAATATTGGTTAACGAACGCCTTAGATAGCTCCTCCCAATTTCGTTTAGTAGAATCCTTAAACTTCGCGTCCCAAATGGCTACCACATCGGATAAAGTTCTTCTCAACAATGACAGTTTCTAAACCCAAGATAGGCCCATCATCCTAGTATATCTAAAAACTGGCGAACATACACAATCGGGTCCTTACTCCCATCAAATCTATATATATGAGGCATTTTGAATTTTTTCGATAATCTGATCGAGGCTTCGTTATACCAATCTTCAATATCCGGAATGAAATTGCAGCCTTGGGGCTTTTTCAGCGCTTTCTCTAGCTTGGAAATTTTGATCATGGCCGGATCAATATCGTTGATGTCAAACAGAAGGAGTCCCCATTGGGGCTGTGCCAGAGGCCTGTAAGCTGGAGCCTGTGCGAACATTTCCTGAGGATCTAGGACTTGTGGGTTTTCAACTGGTGGTGGTGGATCAGGATTTGGCTGGGCAGCCAGCATTGGAAGCACGGTAGATGCTGATACGCCAGATGGGCGTTGTAGATCAACAATAATTTCATCTTGTGCGGCCATCTTTTGATTCACAGTATCCATGGTTCTCTGGAATGCTACCATCATGGCAGCAACTTCTTCTGTGCTTTGTGCCATTATTGGTCTAGGTGAGCTAGATACTGGTCAGATGAATGGGTGGGAACGGATAGGTGTTTGCTGAGTGTTCTGTGCTACTGCTGCTAACTGCCTGTTCCTTATTCGTCGAACAATGTAGAAACGAGACTAACACTGGCTGTCCACCAAGGTCTTAAGTTTTGCAAAGTTTTCCAGAGCAAGTCCACACAACTTGAGGGATATCGGGTCTCTTTGAAGTTATGATTGTAAACTACCTAGCAAAAGAAAGAAAAGAAAAGAAAAAATCAAAATCGGACAGTACTTTCGCCTAATTTGTAACAGATATAATCACAGCTGAAACACTGATTTCTCACTGAACTCTGTTCCCAAACTGATATCACTTTGTACCACTGATACAAACCTTCCTGTACAGTCTTACTGTAAAAACACATACAAGGTAAAAGAACCAAAACACTC